ACCATCAATTCCTTCTGGTTTGAAACTCTGAAGACGTGGGGGAAGGAGACCCTCAGAGTATCCTCTCTACACCACGTATGATTCCAAAAGCTAATTCTCCTTCCATCTCCTACCCTGTAAGAGATGTTGTCACTAAAGGATTCCCAATTTTTCATGATACTCCTCCACATGCCACACCAGAAAGGTGTTGTGATTGCCTTGGTCCTCCAACCCCCTCCCGTGGAATCGTACTTTTCTACCCCNATCTGCCAATTCACTAGATGATACTTTCTAGTTCCCTCCGCTGCATCCCATAGAAAATTCCTTTGAAGTCGCTCCAGTTTTTCTGTGACGCTCACAGGAGCTTGCAACAGGGACAAGTAATAGGTGGGCATACTCGATAAAGTGCTTTTAATGAGCACTTCCTTTCCGCCTTTTGACAAGTACCGTTTCTGTCAGCCTGCTAATCTTTTTTCAACCCTTTCGATCACTGGATTCCAAACCGTAGTATCCTTATGCGAAGCGCCCAATGGGAGACGTGAGTAGTGCGAAGGGAGCCCACCTTACATCTGAGAACATAAGACAAAGCATCAATGTTAGCAACCTCACCCACCGGGAAAATCTCACACTTGCCGAGGTTGATTTTGAGACCTGATAATATCTTAAACCACTGCAGGACCTGCTTCAGGTAGGTCAACTGATCCATATCGGCATCACAGAAAATCAGGGTGTCATCCGCAAAAAGCAAATGAGAGGCTTTTCGGGCACTAGGCACCCCGATCGGAGCTGAGAATCCTCTCAAGAAGCCTCCGCCCGCCGCTCAATCATTTTACTCGAAGCATCCATCACTAGAATGAATAGCATTGGGGATAGGGGGTCTCCTTGCATGAGACCCCTGGAGCTGCCAAAGAAACCACACGGGCTACCATTAACCAGGGCAGAGAATCTGACCGAGGAAATACAGAACTTGATCCATCCCCTCCATCTTGCCCCAAACCCCATCCGCATCATAATGAAATCCAGGAACTCCCAATTGACATGGTCGAAAGCCTTCTCAAGGTCCAACTTGCATAGTAAGTCGGGATCTCTATTTTTCCTTCTGGAGTCTACAAGTTCATTTGCCACCAAAGCAGCATCCAGGATTTGCCTACCTTCCACAAAGGAGGACGAAACAGACACGTCAAGAACCTTCTTGACTCTATTGGAAAGCACTTTAGAAATAATCTTGTAAATGCCCCCCACGAGACTAATAGGTATGTAGTCACTGATACAAGATGCACTTTCTTTCTTAGGCACAATAGTAATAAAAGAAGCATTGATACTTCTCCCGAAAACACCATTCACATGGAAGTATTCAATGGCTTCCATCAACTCCCCCTTGATGGTGTCCCAACAAAGCTGGAAGAAGGCCAAAGAGAAACCATTAGGGTCGGGGGCCTTATCACCAACACAACTCGACACAACCTCGTGCACCTCCTCCTCCTCGAAAGCCCTTCATTGTCTCCCTCCCCTATGTGGTTGAACTCTATTCCTCCCAAAATCGACATCCAACCAACTTCCTCTTTGTATAACTTCTCATAAAACCCCACTATCGCCCCTTTTACCTCCTCCTCTCCCTCAATCCTCACCCCATCCACAACTAAGGACTCTATGAAGTTTCTCCTTCGATTTGCAACCGCCACCCTGTGGAGAAATTTGGTATTCGAATCTCCTTCCTTTAACCATAGCGCCCTCGATTTTTGCCGCCAACTAGTCTCCTGAGCTATTGCTAACTCGACTATTTCCCTTTTAACCTCCCTAATCTCTCTTTCTCATATTCATCTAACTCCCTCGCCCCTTCCCCTCTCTCTAGATCCCTCAATTCATGCATAAGCTCCCTCATTTTAACCTCTACCCTCCCAAAAACCTCCTTATTCCACCTAATAATATCTCCCTTGAGCAATTTAAGTTTCTTCGAAAGACGGAATGAAGTAGCTTGCCCACCATTCTTTCACCTTGTCACCAAATCCTGGCACCTTCAACCACATGTTCTCGAATCGGAAGGGAGCACGCACCCCCTCCCTCTGCATCCATCTAGCAAGATAGGCAAATGATCCGAAGTCAGCCTAGGTAAAGGAATCTGCAGCACATTCGGCACCAGCTCATCCCAGGAGGGCGATATCAGAAATCTATCAAGTCTAGACCTTGAGTTGGAATCCTCCGCCCTGGCCCAAGTAAACCTTTCCCCTGACAGAGGAAGATCAATGAGAAAGTGATCATTGATGAAGTCAGAAAACTCCTCCATGGCCCTTGAAATCATACTACACCCTACTCTCTCCTCCGGGAATCTAATAGTGTTAAAGTCTCCCCCAGAACCCAGGAATGTCTCATTCCCCCATCATATTGGCCAGTTCCTCCAAGAAAAACACCTTGGACCCTTCTCCTACCGGTCCGTACACTCCCCTAAATCCCCACTCCACCCCACTCACTCTATCTTTGACAAGAGCTGCTAAAGAAAAAACTCCCTTCTTAATCTCCTTTACCTCCAAGCTTCTATCATCCCACATTAGAAGAATGCCCCCGGCACTTCCCACTGCTAGAACCCAGTCATATTTTACCCAACTACCTCCCCAAACACTCCTCACAATCACATCCAACAAAACTTCCATTTTTGACTCCTGAAAGCAAACTAGGTTAGCACCCCACTCTCTAACTCCCACTTTAATGATGACCCTTTTGTTTGGGTTCATCCCCCTCACATTCCATGAAAGTATCTTAACTTCCATAAGAAACAATATCCCCCTTTTCCCCACCCCCTCTAACCAAGCTCCCTTCCTCCCTGTCACACACCCGGCCCCTTCTCTGGTACGCCACTACATCCCCTAAATATTTTGCTTAACACCTTAACCCAACTCCCTCCCTGCACCATCATAACAAGATTGTTGCTCAATCTCCCTCAACAGTTCTAACACCCTATCTTCCTTACCTCCAAAAGAAACACCTAGAAACTTCCCAAAGTTTAATAGTTTATCCTCCATCCAGAAAGACATATCCCCTCCTCCAATCCGTGACGAGATTGGACAGGCATCTTCTATATGTACCATTTCCTTGCCCCTACCGGAGGAATACAAGACCATAGCATTGCTAACAATAGGAACTTTAGGTGCCGAAAGGATCTTACCATTTCCTTGAGGGGTATCAATCTCTGAAATTAGCACCCTGCTGCTACAAGAATGACCAGGAACACCAGTAGGGTAGCAGGAAGGAGGAGAGTATGGAGCCCTTAGCGACATCTTAACTGGAAATACTGGTCCGACACTAACATCAGATGGGGCATGCTCAACGATCTTCCCAGAAGAAGAAGCTTGAAGTGTAGCCTCAACACAACTAAGCCCAGGAGCATATGAGGGGGCGATGGAGCTGGGTCCATTAGAGGCGGGAGGTCGTGGAATAACAACACCATCTATAGCCGATGCCGCCCCTGAAGCAGCGGCCATCGAAGAAAGGCGAAGGTCACTAGAGCTCAGTGCAGAAATGCCACTGTGTGTAGCACCATTGGCAGAAGAAGGAAGAGTGACTGTTCCCATATGCTTAGGAGCCTTAACAGACGCAGCTTGAAATAATCTGGGCCCCTTAGGATCAATTCTAATAGAATTGGGAAAAGTTGTTGGGCCCATGTGAGGAGGCCCAGGCCTATACTTGCTGAAAACTTGCCTGGCCCTAGGATAATTAGAAGATGACCTGCCCATTCTACCTTTCCAGTCCGCATCACTAACCCATTCACGTCTTTCCCTCCTGTTGAAATTTTGTCTTCTTCTCCCAAATTCAAATCTCCCGTCTCTTCTCGATCTAACATCTGATTCCGGCTTAGACTACTGATCCGGTGAGCCCTCCCCTCCTCTCAAAGATTGATTTGACCTGTAATTCATTTCTTACCGTTTCTTTAGCCGAGGGTCTATCGGAAATAGCCTCTATGCCTTTATAGGATAGGGGTAAGGCTGCGTACACACTACCCTCCCCAGACCTCATGTATGGGTTAAACTGGCTTTGTTGTTGTTGTTTGAACTGTAATTCATTTCTTGACAATTTTTATGCATAATTTTATGAGTTCTATTTATATTTTTTTGGTTATTGTATGACACTGAAAACTTCATACTATAAACTAAGGTTCTTTCTTATTTTTTTCCAAGGCTGGAGGAATGACAGGGAGTAATATTTTGCTCATAGCTGTCAAAATTCAAAAAGCAAAGAAAAGAAAGGAAGCTTGAGAAAAAAGAAACAAATGCGAAGTGAAGGAAATAAATGCGAAGTGAAGGAAAATTTGGACTTATACCGATTGTGTCATCATTGAGTTAGTTCCCTATTTTTCGCATTTAGCCTTTTCTTTCATAAACAATAATACTCCTAATAGTTTGACGATACATATATTAAAGTTTTGAAAGTATCTTTTAATAATTGGAAGAAAAAATAATGTAAACCAACAAAAAAGAAATTCATTTTACGGTTGTTAACTTCAGATATTGATTACTTATTCATTTTAAATGATTCTGTTTGGACAATATTTGGTTGAAGTTTGAAAAGTTAGTAATTTGAGTAAAATTTGAAGTTGAAATTGTGTTTGACATGAATTTCACTTAGAGAAGAAGTTAGAACTTTTGTAAGTGAAACATTACTTCCTTTGAGATAAACAGAACTTTTTGGTTCAATTTTTTTATTTAAAATTAAAATTAAATAATCGATAAAATTGTAAAATAAACATTGAATTGCAATTAATGTGTGTCCAAATGCCCTTATAACTCACAGAATTTTTTTATTAAGAATGCATATGATAAAAATTCAGTATTTTGCAAATACAAATTTTACAACAATGATACGAGATAAATGTGCAACGCATGTTCAGAGAGACTAGTAAATATTATAAATGGGAGGAAACAAATTTACCTGGTGTGTGTCTCCAAGCAACAGCACCATGTGATGGGGTAGGCTGACCAGAAGCAGGCAATAATGACTCGTCAAAAATAAGATTGGTCGGAAGGACTGAAGGAAGAGGGCGACCTTCCCTGTGTCTCTCCATCAGGTATAGAGCAATGCAGAATTCCCTTAAAGACAACATGCTGTCATTGTCTTGATCAGATAAATCCCACACCTGTTTCAGCACCTCTGACAAACAAAAGCATACCATATTATTGTCTCAAAGGACCAAAAGACCAACAGCTTGGCGACAGAAAGAAAATTCTACATGAGATCTCAGGAGCAAGAAAGATGCAATGCCACAGACCCACAGGCCATAATACACAGCACCAACAATGTCTTGAAGAACAAATAACAAAGCTCGCATGACTTCATGGCAAATAAAATGCATGTAAGAAAATTGTTGCCTGATGAATGTATGAAGTGCATAACCCCGACTAAACATAACACAATGCGCTCTACCAGAACTATTAAGAGGTAAAGAGTCCCCACATATTCCAAATTTTAAGCAAAGCTACTAGATGTTTGAATAAAAACTAAGGTCTCCAGAAGCCTAAGAATCTAAGAGGCAAAGCCCTTATAAGCAAGAAAAAATTAGGGCCGGCAAGAAGTGTGCTTGGTGATCAAACCCATCTTCTTACTCAACTAGTCTGCTGCAATATTACCTTACCAAGAATTTCATAACTTATGTTGTTAAGAGTGTTACGGTAATAAGAGGTAGCTGTAGTAAATTTCAGACTACTAAAGAATCTGAATATTAGACATGATATAAAGGTTTTTTAAGTTCCTTAAATGTCAAGTCAAACACCCTCAAGCCCCCATATCATCCTATGATAAAAGAAAATCCCAACTTCTTTTGCTGTTGCGAGTTCAGCATTGTGTGTTACATCAAGTTGTCTGTAATATAAACCACTGATAATCATCAACAACTCGAAATTTTCAATGCTCCGACACAGCCCACTTCATTCACAAAGCACAACACTGTTTTTGTCTATCTCTAGAAGAAATTTTATACAAGTCAACAATTCAAAAATATCAGCAACTTAAATTATTCAACAGTTCAACTTTAGAAAATGCTGATGGAGTATATACATGAACAATCATCAACTTAAATTTTTAACACTCCAACACAATCTACTTCATTGACAAAGCACAACATTGTTTTCTTCTATCCCAAGAAAAGAAATATATAAGACAAAAACTGACAAGTATCAGCAGCTCAAATATTTGAATGGTTACACAACTAAGATGGAGTGTGTACACAACCCACTTCATAGACAAAGTACAACATCATTCTGGTTTATCTCTAGAAGTAGACTAATAAGCCAAACTACAACACAACATAAAATTGGACGGTAGGAGCAGTATATAGCTAACTATTGATGTTGAACTTCATCAACAGAGCAAAAGAAAACTCCTAAAACTAACTAATATTGGCAGAATATTTTTTTGCAACCCTTTAAATGCAAGAACTTGCCAGGTGAAGTAACAATCATATCATAATTACAAAAGTGAACTACTTTCTGTCTTATAGCCATAAAAACTTATTGGCTTCTAAATTGGGTGATTACTGTCCAGATTTAGTGATACCCAATTGCACTATTTGCTTAATATGGTGTATCAATTAGAAGTACCTCAAATACCCAATTTCAGAGGGAGAAATCACGATTAACTAGATAATGTATATGGTTTAAGCTCTTCAAAATAAGGAATTAGAGTTCATAAGAAGTAACCAATTTTATTAAAACCTGTAAATGTACACCAAAGTATATGATATCAATCTTTTGCCTGCTTCATTTGACATTTGCACAGTTTTTAATTGGAATCTAACAAACCCACTGAGATCTCAAGTGTCTAGCTAATTAAAATTTAAGTAAAAATAAGTGTATCAAGCTACACTTACATAGACAATGTCTATTTCTAGTTAATAAACTAAGAGCTCCAAGGCTACCCAACTGTCTCCCAATTCAACCTCAACTTTTAGAGCTGTACGAAGAGACTAAACATGAAGCTATGGAATGGTGGAATAACACAGCTGCCAGAGTGGAAGGGAAAATAGCATGTTCTAGAAGATTAAGGGGCTTTAAGGGCTTGCGCTTCCCAAAAAGAAGAAACAAACAGAACAGAACTCATAGAGCAACTTTCTAAAAATTACAAGCTACCAGAGATCATTCCATGTCCCAGAGCCCCAATCATCAAAATCTAAGGCTTCTAACTGCAAGAACAGCAACAATTATTTGATGTGCCAAGTCATTTAATGACAAAAGGATATATAACACATTCAGTTGGTGGTTAGGCAACGAGAAATAGAAATTTGACATACCAAATATAATATCTATGATTTATCTCAGAATGAAAACAACCAAAAGGAACATGGTATTTCATAACTAGATCAAGGCAGTATTGCAGTAAACAAGTCACACCTCGAGGCAACTTCCAACTCAGAAACAGGTTCCTTGCCTCCTGGCCAGTAATTTTTCCATCCCTGTCCGTGTCCACAGCCATAAATACTTTGCTGTACTTCTGATAATCAGACCGAGTCATTCTTGGCCAAGGAAGCTGAGACTGACCAGACAGAGAATTTCCAGCTGCATTAGGATTTGCAGCAGAGCTTGGCACTAAGACCTGTTGGTTTGGTCTCCCGGTCAACTGAGCTTGCTGATGCTGGTTTACTGGTTGCTGTGGAAGTGCAACTCGTGAATCGACTGAGTGGGCCTTTACTGGATGTTGGACCCCTGCAGATGCATTGATGATGGATGGTGAGACTGGTAAGCTGCTAGCAGAAGATATACTTGGTGCAGAGTTTTGTTTTGGTTGAACTGATGCAACTGAAAAGGCATCTCCAAAAGGCGAGTCAGATGCAAATCCATTTCCTGAGACTGGAACAGCTTTAGAATCCTTTGCATCTGGCTGGTTACCACGCAGAGTTGCATCATTTAATTTAGATGAACCTGGTAGTGCCGAATAAGTGGTCTTTTGTTGGTTCTGCTGTGGAGAAGTATGATCAAATCCATCTTGACTTCTAGAACTGATACCTACATTAGGAGCTTGGGAAGTAACAGCTGCTTGGGAGCCACCATTACCAGCAAGCCAACCAGAGGAATTGGCAGGACTAAAACCTGCCATGGTACCTGCACCTGGCATTCCTTGACCAGAAACACCTGGTTGAGGCTGAAAAGTGGAGCTCGGAATGGGTGGTCGAGGAGGCCTCACGTACTGGCTTTGCTGAGCTGGAAAGCCCTGTTGACCCCTAACGCCAATACTTGGTGCTGTTATTGGAGCAGCGCCACTAACTGGAGGCACTGCAGCACCACTGACAGGAGGGACTGCAGAACCAACATTATTAGCTGGACGAGGACCTGGTATGGCTGCAAGGTTTATCTGGGGCGGAGGAATTTTAGCTGAAGCTGGGGTAAATAGTGCAGCTTTCACTATTTCAGGGGTCAACTCTCGTTTTTGTGCCACTGTAACAAGCTTAAGATAGTTGAAAAATTCTTGGCGGCTAAGAAAACCAGTATGACTTTGATCAACATATGTCCATATCTGCATAAAAGCGAAAGAGAACATGAAATATAATGAGAAACACTAGGAAGATGATAGATCCAGACATTTTACAAGAGCTAGTGAGAAGACACGAGTTAATTGATAGATCCAGACATCCAACAGGAGTTGCACACAGACTATTTACGAACTAAAAGCTTCTTCCATATCTCGATTATCTTGAAATCTGTTTTTAGAGCTGTCTTCTGGCAAGCATCATAATTGTTGTTGCACTACTTAATCAAATATCAACAACAGTAATGTCTGAGCCTTACCACTCTCACAGCCTGAACCACAAAGCCTATCTGCAAGTTCTTTACATATTTTAATAAAGCTGCAACTTCTTTTACATTCTCCAGTGGCTCTAACACATTTTAGTGGTAATTATAGTTTTATATTTCAACTCTACAACAGACTATCTTCTTTCTAAGTTACCAGACAGCTATTCACCTTGTTGTATTACAAGACATAAAGTGGAGGTTTCTAAAATTATAATCCGCAGAGCCATTTCACTAATACTCGTTAAATAAACTTTTCAGGTATCGCATATCTGCTACTCATTTTAAGATTGTTTATGTTAAGTTCCTAAATATTCATCTAACGCAACAATTGCAAGTTTCTCCTCCCTTTTTTTTTTGGCTGAACCTAACCACGTCTTTCCACCCCTTTTCTGCTGCATTGCAACGAGTTTGCAAGCTCAACTGACTGAAATGCTTCGAGCCCACTCCACAGCAGCTAGCACATCGAACAGGTAATCAAAGACAATAAATGAAGTGACAGAAGAAGAGGTAGAAAGGCATGTCATTGCAATGGCAAGTGATGCATAACAACATCCATATGCAGGCATATTAGGCATGTGAAGAACATGTCTCATCACATGAGTGAAATATTGTGCTTTGATAAAGAACATCGCCATGAATGAAGGTAGGAACTAAGTATGCAATTTCTAGAACTACTGTGTCGGAGGAAGAAATGGTGCGCAAAAAGATAAGCGTACATTGAAGCTAATAGAGGTTGAATCCTTCACTTGTTAATTGAAAAAACAGCAGAAAAAACAGCCTCCAGCTGATATCGACTGTGACAAACACTCTGAATCTTCCTTCTTAGCCATATAGTTAAATTCCTAACCCAATCAACACTTAACAAGGAATTCTAAAAACTAATGCGGATTTGGATTAACAATCTTTTTTCTTTAATTTAATAATCGTGCCCCAAACCAGCTAGCTTGCATCTCGATTAATAATGCTCCCACTGAATGTTGTAGCCGGATGCGAACCAAACATGGTTTAACAAGTAATAGTAGCAACTGGACTTACAACAATTCAAATCACAGAAAAACGACTCATATGATAGAACCAGCTAGCAGAATTGTGATAAATTAGTAATCCATCAAAAAATAGGATCAATTTCCTTTCTTGTCCTCAGAAGTAGTGGATATACAAAATAAGAGGGGAGTAGAGAAATGGAGGGAACCTGAGCAAGAAGCGGTTTGGGCAAATTGGAGGCTTGAAAAAAGGCAACAGCCTCAGCGCCACTGATCCGACCATCCTGATCCAAATCTGCTCTCCGAAAATAAGCCTCGAATTGATCCATATTCGGACTTTGATCCAAATTGATTCAATCGGTTTTACCAAATTTGAATTAGATCGGTGAGTAAGCGAGTCGTTACGGAATCATTTGGAATTGTGATAGTGAATTAGGGCAGAGAATTTGAGAGGTTTAAGGAGATCCAACGTGATTCGCCGCCGGGAAGAGCGGGGGGGCGGGGGTAGTGGGCAGTGGTGGGATCGATAGGCGGAGGATTGAGGATGATATGGTAGTGACAATTCGAGAAAGGTGATGTCACAAGTTTTGATGGGTTTTGTGCTTCATACAGCACACAGCACATAGTAACATTTTATTTTTTTTCCCCGACACATAGTAGCCTTTACCGTGGCAATCTCTTTGTTAATGTGATTCATAACTCGCAATTGAAATGCTATTTATATCATTATATGTTGCATTAGCAATTGCGACTTATAAACTGAACAATGTATAAGTCGCATGGCGAACGCGTTCTATAAGTTGCAATTAGCAACAAATTGAAGTCAAAATTATTGAATGTGATTTATATTGCTCGCGAATTCCTTTGTGATTTTCTCTTCTCTCTTTTCATCGGTTTCATCAAATTTGCTTTGGTGCACTCGGTCGATTTCTCCGAATATAAAGAGGGTTCTTGTAATTTTTGTCTGAATATCATGAGATGTTAGACATTAAAAACTCAATATATGTTTCGATATTGGTTAATTCAATATATGTTTCGATATTGGCTAATTCAATATATCACAATCGTAATCTACTTCATCAAATATTCATGTAGGATTGATTGTCCGTCGCAGACAAAAAAATCCATAGTATAACGACATGAATATATATAGACTCAAAGTATAATGAGAGATATATTTAAATATTTTCTGATAGTACAGTGATATATTTGACCATTTCCCGTCTCGTATAGGAATATCAAAATTTTAACGGTGAATGGTCCACAATGCACCAAAGAGAAATTTCCATTTAATTGCCTAGAGATTTGAACACAGCGATATATTTATTTAATATGAACAATATCCCTTAATATTGGTTTGCCTTTGCGTTGATAAACATTCAAGTGATAGTACCTCAATGTGAAGCTAGAGCATGTTGCATGCCTAAAATAAATATATAATTAATATTTATATTATATTAAAAGCACGAAGGCCATTAGCGAAATGTCGTTCGCCTTTTATACCCTTTAAAATATACAATTCACATGGGACAATATAGTAATTTAAGTTATTCATTAATACTTAAAAATATTCATTTACTTAATTTTGTATTATTTTGGTATATTTTGCTAGAATTAATTGTTAGTAAATTTTGCCTTAATTATTTGGTATAACTTTTCTTCACGTTTCTCACAAAAGGAAAGTTAATAAATCAATTTTTCTTCAAGTTTCTTAAACAAGGAAAGTTAATAAATAAATAAAAAAAATTCCTAACTTTCGCTACTTGTTTTTTTTTTTGAAAAAAAAAACGGAAAGATACACTTGGTTCACTTTCATTAAATAACCGTATGTCTATTGGAGTTGGTTAAATTCCCTTTATTCTTTGGAGTAGTAAATAATTGGTTATTTTCTTGTACACTAGAAAAGTTAATAACTTTTTTTCCTTGACTACTAGTGCTTCGTTCTAACCTCAACAAATGACATTATTTGTTAAATTATCTAAACTAGAAAATTTTGTAGTATTAGATTCTCCACGAGCATATTATTCCTTTCATGTGTCAAATTGTGACTATAAAAGAAGTTATATTGTCACAATTTAATCGTCAAACTTCGCCATATTCCAACATCGTGATTGTAGGTTTTGTTTCTTTTACTAATATCAACATCTTTTGCTTCTTCGTATTTTGCAAGCACATTTACATGCATCAATTGTTAATGTTGCATCGAGAATTTATCTTTAGTGTTGCATGAAGAAATTTTTACTATATAATTTTTTGTTTCATGTTTTAGACGTGGCTAATTTCACCTCTCACGTAATTTACAAATTTAATACTGGTTATTGAATAATTGCAATTCATCGCAGAAATTGGTTAGACATTCGACCTAAGTTTTATTACTTAAATATTAGTAATTTTTTTCTTTGTTGTATAATTAATAATACTTATTGTTATGCAACCTCAAGTTGCTTGTTTTATAAATAAAAAATAAAAAAAATAGACTATCTCATTTAATTTGTAATATTAATACAACATGATTTATAATTATGTTATTTGCAATTGCCATGCTTGATTCACTCAGGTTTCACCAATTACATCCGTTCAGGTAAATAATCTTCCTTATATCATTAAAAAAATCAATTATGGATTTAGTCACTTTGATAACTTATAAAACTCTTACGCATGCTTTATTTTAGGTACACCTGTAATGGTCAGTGAAAAAGAATTGTCAGACCAATGTGTCCCAATTAATAGTGTAAGAATATCTTCTTTATGTTGGGTAATACGAGTCTTAGTGTTTAGGAGTGGAATAGTAACAAAGTTCAACAATAAGACAAATCAAGGCATCCGAAAAAATTGTGACATTAGTTGATAAAGAGGTAAATATTATTTTATATAAGTAATTTATTTCATGTCTTTTAATATTAGTTTTAACCATCAGATTAAACTTAAAGTGGAACTTTTTACAGGGAACAAAAATTTGCGCTACACTTTTTAGTGGTTATATTGAGAAGTGGAAAGAACATTTACACAAAACAAGATCGGTTACATCATAAACGGAGGCATTAATAGTGTTAATCCTAATTTTCAATCAGTGCACAAGGAGCTTGAGATTGGATTTAAGGAGAATACTTTTGTTGAAGAAAGCAACAATCGCTTTTCGACCATTGGTTTTTCAAATAATTTTATTTTATTCGATGAGGCATCAAACTGCACTAATGGAACAATTTTTGGTAAGTTCTTTAAATTTCATCAAGTAATCTTTCACTAAATATATAAATAATATTTTACTTCTATTCGCCTTATTAATTTTTTAGTAACATACATATATTTGTTTTAATATTCTTTTTAGATATAGTTGGAATTTTAGTGGATGTTAAACCCTCAATGGGAGAAGATGCAAAGAAACGAAGGGAGATAGTGCTTATCAACGAGATGTAAGTTAGAAGTTTTAGTTTAAAATGTTAAATATTTCTTCATAATTAATATGTTTAATTATAAATTTCAGGGTTGATAGAAAGACTATAATAATATGTTAATATTTTCTTTTTTATGAAATCTCCTCAACTATACACAAATTAAGTATACATATTATATATGAATTTTACATATATTATAACTATATATTATATTTATTTTATAGATTCTGAANCTATAATAATATGTTAATATTTTCTTTTTTTATGAAATCTTCTCAACTATACACAAATTAAGTATACATATTATATATGAATTTTACATATATTATATTTATTTTATAGATTCTGAACTGTTTCGCTGAATGCGTCGACAATACCATTTTATATTAGAGGTGCCTTCCTCTTACCAGTAACAATTACATCAACATTCTTCCTAGCGCACATCAACATTCTTCAACAAATGACAGAGGATAAGCAATAGTCCAGCTAATGGGTCTAGTAACATCACCACATCCGAGCTTCATTGTAACACTCAATTTAATATCTACATAACTTTTTTGCATCATCAATTGCTATTAAACTTAATTCATTCTTATTCAATTTCATATACACTATTTTGGCAGCTTACCATTTAAATGTTTGTTGCATCATCAATTACCTTTATACTTAATTCTTTCTTATTCTACCTATTAAAATGTGTTCTTTTGTGCATAACGCATAATACACGTGCAACGCACGTACACTAATTCTAGTTATACATTAAATATATGAGTACGATTTTAAAAAGTTAAGTAAAATATGATACTAGGTAAGCTCACGGTATATGTATTAATGTCATATTAAATAACATGCTAATTCTTGATAAGTTTATCGTTATCAAACGGTAAATTAAAGAAGAACAGTGTATAATTTTTTCAAATTTGATTTGCAGTTTACTTGCAATCTATGATTTGAAATCTTGTAACTCAAGCCTTAAAATATATATACATACTTCACCCATCGATCTTGTACTCAAACCCCTCTCACACACCTGTTAAACACGGAGAATAGTATTATACACCAAAACTTTTAAAAGTGTATCAATTACACACCTCTTTTTCCATGTGTCACACGCGTGTATTGCACATAAAAGAGGCGTGTGAAAACTACAAAATTCATCTGAAATTAAGTTTATTATTTTATTTTTCCCTTTTTTAACTATTTTCTTTACAAATTAAAGGGAAAAAAAATATAACTTATGTCTCTTCCCCAACCCACACCCCAGCGATTCCCCCCTGTTTCGTCTTCTTCCCCAACCTCCATCCTAATTTTGTATACCCCTCATATTTCGTCTCTTCAACCCCCATGACTAAGAAGAAAAAGAAAAGGAAGAAGAAAAGAAGAGCTATTGGATCTTGTAAAAAGCATCATTATTGACCTTTTGAAAAGCTTGAAAAATTAATCGGGTCTTGTTGATTTTGGTGTTCCATGACCTAGAAAATTGGTTTGAATTCGTGATTATTTTGAATAAAAATTTACTTAGGTGTTTAATTTTGATAAAATTCAAAAAACACCATTAACAAGTTTGAAGTTTTGGGGTTGAGTTTGATTTTGAAATTTCTATAAGGATTTGTGATGGATGTTGTTAAAACTTGTTAAAAATCGAGCAAAGAGTTGAATCTATAGTTGGGAAAGAAAGTGCTTGTAGTGGAAGGATTGGTGGTAGTATGGTGGCAGTTGAGAAGATGATGGGGTTGGGGAGATGAGGAGGGGGTCGGGTTTTTTTTCTGTGTTTTTTTTCTTTGGGAAGATGAGGAGTGGGGGTGGGGCAGAGTTTTTTTTTTAGTTTTTCTTTATGACACGTGTCAGATGCTGATTGTCGCGTGTAATAACAATCTTTAAGTAGATGTGGTCAAACACCAAAGTGGTATGTAATTGACACACCTTTAAAAAATTTGGTGTGTAATATTATTCTCGTTTTTAACATATGTGTAAGAGGGATTTGGGGACAAGGTCGATGGGTAAAGTATGTATTTTGCCTTAAAAGACATTATTGTTTCAATAGTGAAGATTAAGCGCATAACATTCTACATACTAAGTACTAACCAATATTTGAATTAGTTTTACATATAAAAAAATTCGTTCCTAAAGCAAAACAAAATACTCTTCAATAAAAGAAGTTCAAAGTAGGATTTTATAAAAATTGACACAACATTTATTTAAAAACAGGTAATCTAAACACACACACACAAAACTAGTCTTTTTTGTCTCATCCTTATTTGCTTGAGAATGATCTAAGAAAATGATTAATTATTC